CCCCCTGCTGAAACTGCAGCTTCTTCCCCTTTTCTGTCTTCCTTTCTTGGGGCCCCCTCGTTTTTTTTTCCAGCTGCCCAGCCATCATCAGGATGTGTGGGGGCGGCGTGGCCCAGATTTGGCGCTGATCTGGCGGCTCTTGGCCCATTAGGCGGTGTGCTATATAATTAGGAACGTGGATTAATGGAACAGCTGTCGCACCTGGGGTTAATATCGTATGCTTCAAAGCGTATTTTCTTGTTTTGCATATAATACGATTTCGTAATTTGTTTTATAGGCTTTCTCTGATGTTTTCTATTTTAATTGTCACCGAAATCCCGTAATAACCCTTGTATTTATGCATTTCAAAAATTTAAATAGATAATCATAGCTCTTTTCCGATTTTTTCGCGCACCGTGACAAATTTTAGCAACCTGTTTAGTTCCTCAAAGTCCTATTGAAATTGCCTGTTGGGTTAGAAAGATAAAGCATGAATTTTCCAGGAAATTCCTATTTTTAAGCCTATTTACTGCCAAAGTAAGCTGGAGACTTTTGGAACCAACCCTAGCCTGGTCTCAAAAACCCCCGCTCTTCAAAGGGGGGCACCTAACAATTTATTCAGCTCCACAAGCCCGAGCTGTTCCGCGTCCTGAGTACTCCGGCGGAAATGCGCAAAAAAGGTTTTTCTCGCGCGTTGTTGTTCGAATACATATTTTCTGTTATGATCCTTTAAAGGGCATGCAGATGTTATTTAAAAATAGCTAATAAACGCGAGAGAACAAATTAGAAATGGCGCAAAAAGGTAAATATGGCACCGCCATCATTATTTCGCGCTCCTTCGCTCTCGTTATCTCGCTATTTCTCGTTCTTTATTTCTCTCTCTCTCTCTCTCTCCTCTCTCTCTCCATCGCTCTCTCCGTCACTCTCTCCCTACCCTTCCCTCTCCTTCTCTCATTTTCACCCGTTTTCTGACAAGAAATTGCAAGATTATGAAAGAAGAACGCTCATTAATGCATCCACCTATCTATTCATGCCTTTAAAGTACACTTAAAATAACACATATCGCGAGGTCCCCATATTTCCATAAATTATTCACCATCTCCGATTGTTTCCGTCCCATCGCCATGAATTTTCCATGCTCCCGATGCCCGGAAGTATGGGCAAAAAGTTTTCCAAAAACGAGCGCTACCGGCCGGCCCAATCTCGGTCGAAGAATTATTGCGGAGCCTTTGCTTGGGTCCCACAGAGGTGTCTGGGCCTTCTGAAGGCCCGGAATGGGCCCTTCTTCTTCTGGGCCCCCTAGCATGTCTGCGCCCTCCCTCACTCTACCCCCAGAAGGCCCAAGCGCTGCCTTGGCCCTCCTCCCACCTCCCCCACGAAGCACACCCATCAACGATTAGCCATTCGCTTCTGCCGCACGGCCGTTCTCTCGCTGGCTCTCTCTCTATCTCTCTCTCTCTCGCTCTCTCTCTCTCTCTCTCTCTCTCTCTCGTCTCTCTCTCTCTACTGTCATTAGGCGGCCAGGGTGCGCATTTATGGACCCGTGGAGTCTGAGATTTGCCGGTGGTTATTGAGCTTTTACCTCAAAGCTAAAGTAAGTGCTTCAGGCAGACAAAATATTGGATATGAATCACAAGTTTTTGTATCGTTTTGAGAAGCATAAGCTACCAAAGAGTTAGCTCCGCCCTGGCCTTTCAGAGCCTTTATAAAAATTAAAAATTTCGGTGACCGGTCGGGAGCTTTTCTTGTTACCTCTGAACCCTTCTTAGTTTATTTTATTTGTTTTCAAAGCAGCAAATCTCCATCAAATTTTTGTTGCGCGAAAAGCTTTAAAACTAAAAAGGCTTGTTTTGGCTTGTTCCAGATGCGTTATTTTTAGGGCATTTTCTTGTTTTACGCGTTACTTTAATTCCAGACGACCGATGAAAATCCCATCCTGACCCGTATAATTTAATTCTACGTCGCGTTTGCCCAAACACGTGTTTAAAATTCCGAAAACATGCGTTCACAATTTCCCGCTACCCTCAGATTCTCATTCCTGTTGCGGATTTCGGATTTTTCGGGTGTAATTTCATGAGCTTGAGATTCTGGCCTTGCATATAGCCAAATTTGCGCTATATTTTTGCGTTGCATCGCATGGCTCGCTAGGAACTGAAAGCTTGCTTACGTTCCCCGCATCAACGAAGGGTCCATCCATGTCCCCATGGCGCGACAATGGCTCACTTTGTCAACAGACTGGGCCGACGAGAGGAGCGCGTCTATGCCACAAATAGGGATGTCGTTTCCGCTTGTATCAAAACAAGAAACTTGCATTTTGTTGGACGAAAGGCTTCAGTACTCAGATTTAAATAGCTTCGTTTTTGCATTAAAATTGCTTTAAGGTCTATAACACGAGCCTGCTTAAATTTTGTGCCGATTCTAATTTGATCTTTGTCAAATAACAATAACAAACAAATAATATTTTTGTTTTCACGAGCGTTTAATGTTGCCTAGAAAGAATTTTAAGAACATGTCGTAATTGTACATATCTAGCCAGCCTTTTGAAGGCCAGTTTCATGACGTAACCGGAACCTTAAAAACTCAAGACAACTCTTCAACACCAATTTTGCCTTAGAATGGCACATACTGAAAAATATTTTGAATGCAATGAAATATTTGAAAATACTTTTAATGCCATTTAACTATCGTAACCGGAAATAGATAAGGCTACATTCGAAAACAATTTCATGTCTTAATACACGTTCAACCCGCCCCCCCCCCCCCCCCCCCCCCCCCCCCGCCCTCCGGGAATTTTTTAAAAAAACCTCCCGCATGTGCCCTTGAATATGTGATATACCTCCGCACTAAAAGTGCAAAACACGACGCCAAAAACCCACTCCTTTCTTGGCCGTAAACTCCATTCCCCCACAAGTTCTGCTCACTGATTACTTTTCGATTGCTCTCCGAGTAGGCGGCATCCAGTGGTCACCGGAAAAAGGGCCTCCAATTCGTCACCCTTGGGCCCCCTTTTGGGGTGGGCCTTCCCTCGCCCCACATCTACCCCGTTGTGTCCCCCGGGGCCCCTCTTCTACCCATCGTCAATCTAATTCCCCCTCACACTTCCGCACAACTCTCCAGCCGTCCCTTCTATTTTTTCACGCTCCCTGAAAAAAAGGGGCCCAAGGCGCCGGGGATAAATTACTTGTTGATGCCGCCCGGGCTGTCCAGGGCCTGCCAGAGTTTTTTTGATTTTCCTAAGAAATGTAGCAGGTGGGAACGAGGGCGGGCTTATCGCATAATATTGCTTCCGGTTCTTCAGGTTGATCGCCTACGGTTTTGTTATCTTTAGGAATTTTTGATTCTCGGAAAATGAAGGCTTACGGAGTTAAACTATTTTTCTAAATATCCCTCTCTCTCCCCTCTGTCTCTCTATCTCTCGCCGTCCCAAGCTCTCTAAATTTCACTCACGCAAAATTTGACGATCCTTAGCCCATTTTCCCGCTCTCTCTCTCTCTCTCTCTCACTCTTCCGTATATCTCTCGCTTTCGCTATCTCATGCTCACCAGATACTTCACGATCATCCGTAATATGACGATTCATAGCTGAATTTCTGCCTCTCTCTCTCTGTCTCTCTTTCTCTCCCTCTCTCTCTCGTTCGCTCTCTCTCGCTTCCGATTTCTGAGTCTCAGGCGTATTCTCCCATTCAGGCTTTCCCCGAAAACTACCAATCAACAATCCTAAAAATTGGCACTCTCCAAGTTTTAGGTTGCCAATTTGCGCGGGCTCCTCCGTACGTACGCCGCCCACACCCAGGGCGCCCTAGGCTATTTAGGGCGCCGTGTGGCCCGTGTCGAGGAGGGGATAATGGCCAGCTGAGTGGCGGGATGAATAGCCTGGGCCCAGGGGGCCATGGGGGCCCTGGCGAATCGGACGCCAAGATCGGATAACTCTAATTGGGAATCTGTGAATTTTCCGCGGGTTTTTCTTGGAATTTTGTTACAATTCGTTACAATTTGACGACATCTTCTTGGAGTTCAGGGCATAGAATCAGAAATTTGACAAAGTTTTCAACACTTTTTCATTCGATCGCCATGGCTTTTCGCAAATACAAGGGTCTTGAATCCATAATTGTTATAATCTATCGCAAAGGTCGCCATACAAAAGCGCCTGAACGGTTTGAATTCGTTGCTTTTTCTGGTGTTGCATTGCCAAAAAGGCAATAACAGTTTTAGATATTTTGACGCTTGCGACGAAGCGTGGCAACCCGCGGCATTTTCTCTGAACGCGTCGAAATTTCCGGAAATCAGCTTCCTGAATTAATTTTTCAATTGCTTTCGTGGCCTCAGCCCTGGAAATTTAATTTTCATCCCGAGGCTTCGCAAACCAATCCTGCCGAAATCGGCATCCGTGATCCTTTTAATGTTAGCTTTTCTACGTTACCGAACATTACATTATCCTCCAGTGTACCGGGCCGAAAGTGTCAAATTGTTGGTTCGTTGGGCAACGAACTATGTTGCCTAGCCAGTGGTTGCCCGGAGAAACCATTGTTAGATTGGGCCGAGTCGGGCGGCAGGCGCTCGAGTTGATCGGGCTAAAAATGCGTATTTTGCGCTTTTGAATTGTTAATTACCATTGAATCATACCGTCATTACCATTATTATACCACTTGCATCCCAAATTTGGATTTTACCTTTGAAACGTTGAATTCCGAATCATATAGTCACTTTTACAGCCAATTAGGTTGGTTTTTGATGGAATTCGTTCGGATTTGTTATCTCTAAATCCAAATTACAAAATTTCCTAATTGTAAAGTACAAAACTGACGTCACAGATCTTACGCAAAGTCGCGCGCGCCCCCGACGCTAGACTTGAGTAAATATTTGGGCGTCCCTTATGAAATGGAAAGGACACGTTCCGAATATTGCGCTGAGACTTTTTAGACCTTCTGCTTCTCCATTTCCGCCGGAAATTCCGCTTCCGTTTTATGTTATTTTGCTAATTCTGATGACAAGTCATAATTTTTTTCAGGCTGTACTATGTGAATGGTCGAAGTGGGCGACAAAATGGACGCGAGTGCAGAGCAAGAAAATGTGCCGACTAGCGCGGAGACGGGGCAGGGAAACGAAGGAGAAGTCGAGGATGCGGCTGATAGTGGGTTTTTGACAATCGGTATTTTTTTGTCTAGCTTTCTCGCTTACTCTCTCTCTCTCGCGCACTCTCTCTCTCTCTTTCACTCTCTATGTCTGTCTGTCTGTCTGTTCGGATCTCTCTCCCTATCGCCCGCTCTCACTCTCTCTCTCTATCTTTCTCTATGTCTGTCTTCTCTGTTTGTCTGTCTGGATTTCCTTCCCTATCGCCCGCTCTTACTCTCCATCTCTCCCTCACTCTCTCCCTCTCTCTCCCTAGCTGTCTCCCCCACACTCTTTCTCTAGCTCGAGTTTGGACCATAGATATATGTATTTTACTACATTTTATTAACTTTTACGAGCGTAATTCTTCAGCAGAACCAGTCGTCCCGAAGCTTGACCTCTCCGAGGAGACCCAGCTCGTCGCCCAGCCCAGCGAGACAAAAAGTTGTCTTCCCCACCCCTTTAAAACTCACGAATTCAGGCTCTCGATCCCGAGACCAAAAGGTGGCCTCCCTCTGCGGCTACATGACGTTACGGGGCATGTTTCAGGTATGGAAATTCGGAATAGGACCGTCCATTTTTTATTTTGCAGTTAATGGGTCGAACAGTGGGTGCTTGCCCCTGGGCGTACCTTCTCATCGGTGGGCTATTGAGCCTGAATAGTTGCGGGATGTATTGGTGAGTGTTGAGGTAACTGGAAAATTCCCAGAATTTCAGGATGGTGCTAAAGGACCGGATTCGAGACGGGTACACCCCATTTGATGCTCCCTCGCGAATTGAGACCGCCGTGGTGCGAGAATACTGGAATTCCTCAGGTGAGCGGGGCTTTATAGGGAGTGTGACTGCAAATTCAAGAGCTTCTGGTGCTCACCATGTCTTACAATATCTGTTTCTTTCGCGCTATCACGGGGGGACAAACTGTCTTTCTAAAACTGTTCCAATATTTTTATAAAAATTACGAATATGTCAGTATATTATTTTTAACGTTTTCTCAGCAAAAACCGATAAATTTTGGTACAAATTTTTATTTTGAGCAGAAAAATTTATTTTTTCTACACAAAAGGCCCAAAATGGGGATGTTTTTGAAGGCTTTCTGGCTTTTTGAAGGGAATACTTTATTTATATTAAGTCAAAACTTGCTGAAAACGGCCTAAGAAGATTTATCTTTGATTGCTACAGAAAAACTAGCTAGTCAGCGCAGCAAAATTTTACCTGAAGTCGAGATTTTGGTCGAGAAATCGAGGTCTGTCGATGTAAAAATGGACCAGTTTCTTTTTTTGGATTAGTAGCAAACACGTCCGAAAGCCTTACTCTATTTACATTAGAAAATTTTGATCCTAGGAAAATAATGCTGCCTCCCATAATGCAAAAGCCCCAGTATCCGTTTTCCAGGCGACCCGATGATGACCATCCTGCTCTTCGTGCCCCGTGACGGAGGCTCGATGCATCGAAAAACGCATCTGGATGAGACGCGTAAGCCTTCAGAGTTCAAGCCCCAAAAATCACCTCTAGAGCGCATCTACAACTACCTGAACAACAACTTCTCCATCACCCACGAGGATCGCGAGTGGCGCTTCAACGAGATGTGCCACCCCTACTGCGCAATCAACGTGGTGTTTGACACGTTTAAGGTATCGAACGATGCCGTACGGCAAATTCTTCCTCTTGGTTTTAGAAGCGCTTTGATGCGGCATACGACAAGGTCGCAGCCAATAAAAGCGTGGACAACTCGGACCTCGTCAACTACCCGTTGACGCTGATTTATGGCGTTGAGGTAAGTCAAAATTAGAGGGGTCGAGACTGGGTTTCAGCTTCACCTCGAGCGCACGTTCTTCGGCGTCACCGTCAGGGACAAGGATGAGCCGTGGGATGGATCGATTGAGGGGAATATTACGAATATGGGGCATGCAAAGGTAGGTGGAACTCTCAGGCTCTCTCATGCTCTCTCTCCCTCGCCCTCACTCTCACTCTTTGCACATTTTTCTTCTGACGGTTCAACACTAATGGAGCACCAGTTCATGCTTCTTAAACGTCCTTGGAACCTCCATTTTCTATCATGATTTTAGGTGATCATGATGATGATGCGCGGCGACAAGAGCACCCGAGTCCAAGAAGAACTCCTCGCCAAATGGGAGATCGAGGCCTACGACTACGCGCTCGGCCAAAATTCCAGTCTTGTTGAGCTCCAGGTACCAACTTCAATACCCACCCAAAGTGCATACCTCTGTTAAGGTCGTCGGCACCGAGATCCTCGACGCGGAAATGATACGTGATGGCCGGCGGATGACACCGTTTTTTGCTGCAGGTATGGAGGAACCATTTTTCCAGAAATCACTTGATCCAGGCTTCGGCTTCATGGTCTCGTTCGTGAGCGTGTGCGTCTTCTTCAGCGCCGTCTACTACGACGAGTTGGATTGGGGGAAAATGTGAGGTTTAGGGCGTATATTCATTAAACGGATCTTTTTAGCCTATGCGCCGGTGGTGCAACGTTGTGCCCGATTCTGGCCATAACTTCGACGTACGGGATCATCTCCTTCATGGGGCTCCGTGTCAACTCGTTCATGCTCGTCATGCCGTTTTTGATCATGGGCATTGGTAAGAGAGGGGGAGAGAGAGAGAGAGAGAGAGAGAGAGGGCGAGCGCTAGCGAGGGAGAGGGAGATCACTAATTTCAGGTGTCGACGACTCGTTCCTGATGATCCACTCCTGGCAGCGCATGTCCCGATGTGGCTACACCGTAGTCCAACGTCTCGGAATGGTCTACGAAGAGGTACCGTACCACTTTAAATTATTAATACGTTTTTAGGTCGGCCCTAGCGTCACCATCACCTCCCTCACCAATTTTCTCTCATTTGGCATTGGGGCGATGACACCGACCCCTGGTAGACAAATCCTAGAAGCCTACTGTAAACGACTATGTTTCAGAAATCCGCATGTTCTGCTTTGCCACAGCATTGGCGACGGGAATTGACTACATTTTCCAGGCATACAATATATGGAAAGCCATTATTCATGTTCTTAGTTGGTCATCTTCGGGCCGGTGTTGGCGCTGGCCAGCCATTGCGAGAAGTCGAGGAACCAGAAGGCGAGGAATCACACGGGATGGAGACTTAGGGTACGTTCAGATTACACACTATTACTGAAAAATATCGAGAAAAAGCTGCGGTAGCGGCATGGCATAACAAGCCCAGGCTACAAGCCGGAAAATCGTTCAAGAAACAAGATATTTATCCCGAAAACGTCCCCTTAACCTACCGCCCCCCCCCCTTCCTTATCGATTATCTTGCGCAACCACGGTCGCCGCGGGCCGGGGGGTGTCCTCTCCCAAATCAGCCCTTTCCCGGCCCCCTCTTCCACCTGGGGGTATAGCTCAGTGGTAGAGCAATCGGCTGCAGTCCGATAGGTCCATGGTTCAACTCCGTGTGCCCCCTACTCTCTTTTGCTTTTTGGAGGGAGGCTATACCAAGGTTTCGGAAGCCCCATTTGACCAATTTTTTCGCTTCTGTTCGTTTTGGTTTCTCAAAAATCAGACCTAAAATTATCTTTAATGTAATTTTGGTTTTCAACGCCATTAACTCAATTCTTAGGTCGAAAAATGCTCGGAGTGCGTGCTTCGACTCTACTGTGGCCTGCTGAATAATCGCTTCTTTGTGCTGCTCGTTTTGACAGCTACAGTATGCTATTGGTAACGTTAAACGGCTAGCAATTAATCCCAAAATTCAGGTATTTCGGCATCGTCGGGCTGCTCAAAATCCAAACACGCCTCGACACCGTCAAGATTCTGCCCAAAGACTCGCCACTCCAGAAGCCGAACCATTTGCTGAGCAATATTGGTAGGGGTGGAGGTGCAAATGCTTTGTAAATTACAAAAACTTAAGGGACAAATAATAATATAACATTTAAGTGTGGGCCGAGTACCACCCGGTGACGATAATGATCAACGCGCCGTTCGACGTCACCAACAAGACGCAGACGACGCTCTTCTGGGATATGGTCGACGAGTTCGAGACGCTGCACAACGCCAAGGGTGCGATTTTGTGGTGGTAGTTTGGTAGCGTTAGTAGCCTGGGGTAGTCAAAAGACTGGGCTTCAAAGCCTGAAGCGGAAGCGCGAGACTCCAGTGTGTACTTCACCTGGTTTGTGCATGTTTAGGCGATGCGAAAAGCGTACCACCCATTTTCCAGGTCCCGGCTCGTCCCTAGTCTGGCTCCGTGACTACTACCAATACCACGCAAACACATGGGGCTACGACCAAGTCTCCGGGATAGGAAACCTCAACGATGATGAGGCGCGGGCGGCGGCCGCGCTCTTCCAATTGTGGGTGACCGTGTGTAACTGTCTAGCTCAGTCAAATCCTTTCTAGCTTCGTGACCGAAGTGGACCCGCGGAACACGAATGTCACCTACGACAAGCTCGACGCGTTCCTGAAGCACCCGTTGTACGAGCACTGGGCCCCGTTTTTGCAGTGGACGAATCGGAGGTAGGCCTAATTGAAGAGGTCTTCGCTTTAATGAGAGCCGGTTTTATCGTGATTTTTTTTTAAATTCTAGCGATGGCGTCCACGTGAACCGCTTCTGGCTGACGATCGCCTACACCAACACGTCGAGCTGGGAGACGCGGATTGCGCTGATGCAGGACTGGCGGCAGTTGATCGGAAAGTGGGTGAAAATTTTGGAAAAATGGATTTTGATCGTTTCAAGGGTTTTTCAATTGGTTTTGAAAATTTTGAGAGGGTTCCAGCTCAGAAAAACTCGAATTCAGGGATTTAGGCGGTCGAAAAACAAGAGTTTTATGAATGTAAAATTCTGTTACTTTGGCAATGTATGCTGAATTCTAGCCCCGTTAAACGCGCCTTGCTCGGTATGGATTAGGATGACAAATCCCTTTAGCCGCCGCTTTTTTGGCACGGATTTGCTCCTACTAGCCCCTTGAAAACAGCAATGACTTAATGCAAATCCAATTTTTCAGGTACCACGTCCTCAACGCGACCGTCTGGGAGCCGAACGGCATGTTTGTCGACCAAATGCTCAGCCTGAAAACGGTGGCCCTACAGGTTTGTCGTGAAAATTGACGATTTTCAAGCTAGATTTCCAGACCGGCCTGTTGACACTCGTGTGCATGGCTGTCGTGTGCGCCATCTTCATCCCGAACCCAATCTCCGTGTTCACCGCTTCGCTGGCCATCGCTTCGATTAGTTTAGGTACGGTAGATATTGTTATTATAAACGCTGCATTAAGAAGTGGACGCGTTCTAAAGTCCTGAATTTTAAAAAAAACGGAAAATTTATCCTTATGGAATTTTTAGGAGTGCTCGGCTTCCTCTCGTGGTGGAACTTTGATCTGGACCCGGTGGTCATGGCCGCTGTTTTGATGTAAAATTTGCAAAAACCGATTTTTATACTCTTGTAATTTTGCAGGAGTATCGGGATGAGCGTTGACTTCACGGCGCACGTCTCCTACCACTATCAGGTTGGTTCTGTTGCTGGCTCTCTCCCTCTCTCTCTCTCTCTCATCTCTCTCTCTCTCTCTCTCTCTCTCTCTCTTCTCTTTTGTACAAATCGCGCACCCCCACCCCCATTTGGTCCACCAGTATTTACACAGCGCGCAGACCGCCTGGGGTACATAGACCCCGACCATCCCCCCACACCCAACCGGGGGTATAGCTCAGTGGTAGAGCAATCGGCTGCAGTCCGATAGGTCCATGGTTCAACTCCGTGTGCCCCCTACGCCTTTTTGCTTTTTGGGGTGGAGGTTCTTGAAGGTATGACAAGCACCTAACCGATAAAAGTTTGGAGAATTCGGACCGACAAAAAAATTTCCTTAATGAAAACCCCGTTTTTAGCTAATCAACAAAAAGGAAATCGTCGACGGCCAAATCGTCAAGATCAAGGTGGACGGGTCGCAGGAGAAGCTCGTGCACACCTTGGAGGTAGTAAACTATTGAGATTCTTAACTTCCGCATTAATAGGCAGTCGGCTGGCCGATGATCCAGGCGGGCGTGTCGACGGTGGTCTGCATTTTGCCCTTGCTCTTTTTGCAGGTGAGAAATTTCTCAAAAATCTAATTTTCGAATTCTTTAGGCCTACTCACCATCCGTGTTCGTCGCCACCATCTTCCTTGTCGTCTGCTGGGGCGTGCTGCATGGTATGTTTTCCAAGCATATCCGTTTTAAAGGGGCTGGGAAGCCAGGGAAAAAACGAGAATAATGCGTAATTTAGGCCTCCTCGTGCTGCCCGCCTTCCTCGGCTGCTTCCCCGACTTTTTGGCCAACTTCAACTGCTACCGCGTGTTCTTCTCGACGTCGAGCGCCAAGAGTTGCCGGTAAGTGGTTTTTGAAAGGTGCCGAAAGCCGCGACGCGGCCCAGCGTAGCAGCGTTTTGGCTGCGACCCAACTGTAGCATGACCGCGACAAACACAACGCGCGAAACGACCGCAACGCATCTAACTGCTGACGAAACCCAGAAAACCGAAAAAATTGGATCGCGACCTCATTTTTTAGTTACGTCCCTCGCGACGACGACGAGGAGACGTCCGAACTCGTCGCCCCCGCCAACGTCAACAATTCAAAAACCGACGACAACTCGGCGAAGCTGAACAAACCCGACTCAGAGCCATGTGTCTAGACCCCCATATTTCACCCCCATTTTCTTGCCTGCTGTACTGATAGGCTTTCTTGCCATGTCCCGGCTATCCTTTTCTGACGTATGATATCCCCCCGCGACCAAAGCTCCGCCCCCTTGTGCTAAAATGGCTTCCATGAATTTCTGCTGTTAAACCGTTGGCTGTACAAATACATGATTCCCTATGAGCTTCTGCTTTTTTTTATATTTTACTGTTTTCTAGAAATTTTCTAATTATTTTTTCACGAGCTTTTTCGTATAACTTGCAGCTTCTTTAGCGCGCTAGAGACCGGCTTTCAAATTTTTGTAGACGCTTAGATTATTTTTACCTTTCTTTTGTATTTCTACGACGAATTGGTCGCACCGGTACACCCCCAAATGATGATCTTGTCGTGTCCATTTTCTAGTCAACGAGTCTCGAAATATGTTCGTAATGATGCCAACGATTCCCAAAATTTCCCTCCCGTGTCGATATTTGGCAATAAATACTGTAATCATGTGAGAAAAGTTTGTACAAATTTACAAATTATAATACCGAAAAATGATGAACAAGGAAAGCAGATCTGAAAATCGTAGAATTAAACAAAACGTTACCTTCAAGCTTACCTTCCGGCCGGACGGCACGTCCTTCACCTGTAGAAGTTTGCTTTAAATGTTTTTACGTCTGAATTTTCGGGCATTGCGCGATTTCCCAGAAATTTACCTGACATGCCCGACAACTGGAAGTTATAATGACCGGCAGAATTTCTGTGTAGTTGCAGAAGCACCTGCACGAGTCTTAACGAGGTCTTTGGTCCGGCCACTCGGTCGGGCGTTCCCATTACTGATGTTCAACCCGTCTCACCAAGAAGAGTTATGGATTGCCGGCGTCTATAACGTTTTTTGGGCCGTTGGCGCCCCGATCTTTGTCCTTACGGTCTATTTCCTGAACAGCGGTAAGGCGCAACTCACGAAGCAGTACAAATACGTGCAGTTGAACTTTGTGGTAGGATCCGTCGTGTTGTTCACACTTTTTGATTGCCAGATCGCGGCCGAGTTGACCGAGACGATGATCTGCACGCTGAAGCTGATTCTCTACGCCCCGTACGGCGGCGGAAAAACGTTGAGCGTCTGGCGCTTTAGCCTTTTCCAGATACACTTAATGGCGGTAACTGCGGTTACCCGGCCGCGCGACGTCAGGCGGTTTAGAGCATCTATGGAACGTTTCTGATGCATTCGCTTGTGACGGTGGTGTACAGCGGCGTGATTAAGACGACACAAGCCTCGTCGAAGCAACATCGCATTCTACATATGGGAGCCAAGGGCTATCTGCTCGTCGTATACGTCAGCATGATCAGTGGGGTGCACTGCTTTGTCTGGTTTTCGTACGCCAACGACTTCGTGGTTCAAGATACCGTACAGGTTGTTCTTTCGTCAGAAAAAGCTACGGTTAGAATGCCATTCACCCGCCCCCCCCCAGCCGGCACCCAGCTTTTGTTTTTCGTCTCCCTGTTCCTCTGCAGGTGTGTAAAGTATACCAAAATTTTTGCCTTGCTGTGGCGAGTGTTTTGGTATACTTTATACACCTGTAGGATAACGAGGAGCCGAGATACGGTAAGTGGGGGTCGGTTGGGGGGAGTAAACTGCACCTAAGCCAAAGCTACGTGTAATTGCTGAACATCATGTTTTCAGATATGCCTCCATGACTTTAATCTATGCGGTATCGACGGGGTATTTTTCATGCAGCCGCGCCCCGAATTCAGAACTTTCTGGTGGATCGCCGTTGCCGTGGCCGTCGTCACACTGATCGTCTACCTTTCCGTTTGCTATGTGAACATTGATTGTTACCTAAGCGTCCAAAACGACCCAGCCGTTAGCAACCGAACGCGACAAATGCACCGTCTTTTTTGCTTGATTTTTCTGTTTCAGGTCACTTCCTCTTACGTGCTCTTGATTTTCATAGATTTCAGTCCGCGATCGCGTTGTTGATCCTGGGAGGGCCTATTTTCATGGCCCTTGGTGTTTATCTAGGCTATGTAAATTCTGAGATTATCATTTGTTGTAAGTTTAATATGATCGGTTTAACACGTTGGTGTAGCGGTTGGCCTCACCTTTGTTTGCACCGGGGCCCCATGCTGTCGCAAATAATTTGGTCATCCTGATAGCCACACGGCCCTACAGGAAGGCGATATGGCAACGGATACGTAGGATCTATTTGGTATGTGGCCAGGTTGCAGCTCAATTCCGGTTGTTCTTTCTATTAGGTTGAACGGAAGGTCATAGACGTGGCCAGGGTTGAACCGCTGCGCGGCTTTTCAACCCTGATCCCGTCTACGACCTAAAAGTATTGCCTTTGCATGATTCTTCCCGAATCCGGAAAAGAAAAATGAAATTACGATTCGCAAGACATTTCCGAAGTCCGGTTAGAAGGACTTTCGGTTCAACCTAATCCATTCATGCATCACCTTTAGAAGTTGAAACCCTGGGCCGATCGCACGCCAGGGACTGTCGAACCGGTGGAGTGGCAGATGTCGCTTCGCGTCATAAACATCTCGCCGAAATCGTCAATAAGGCAAGCAAGTCAAGTCATGAGCATTGCGTAGTTCAATAAACCTTTACCTTAATTAGTTTTACGTCTTACCTTGCAGTTTGATTTTTGGCTTTATCTCTATTTGTCTCTATGGGGGGTTTTGCGTTGTGCGGGCACGCACGCGCCCTATTTGCGTGTCATTGGATAGGTTACGTAATTTCACCGGACCAATACTCGAGGTTGACAAGTACTACTGATTGTGCCAGGGGGGTTGCCGGAAATCCAGACAGACTGCGGTGCCGGAAACCATTCTAATCGGCGTCCCCGGCAATGGTAAAAGCCGGATAAGTTTGCTTCTTTACAGCCAACGCTTGGAATTTCAAACTACAAAGCGGCTGCACCAACTCTCTGATGTACGCTTGTGCAAGGTTCGTAGGGAGCGTGGAAGAGACAATCAGGAAAGCACCTGCACAACCAGTGCCTGGGAAGATGCGGGTGTCTGGATTGGGGAAACCCCATTACCCATAAAATCATTAGGCATACATTTCAATACTCATAAATCCATTACTCATAAATTCCATTACTCATAAAATCCTTACAGGGAACGACCCAAGGTCGAGGTGGCGTTTCGGTACGGGACCCAGCCTATTTAGTGCAGAATTTTTTTGCTGATGCCGAACCGTCTTCCAATTTTTGCCAAACACCTCGTTTTAGTAAGTTATAGCGTTAGCGTAAGTAAAAGCTCATTTTTCCCAAATTTGCCAATTTCAATTGCATTTATTTTGCTTTTCCCGACTGACTTCTCAAAAATGAATGTCGCCATCGTAAGAAGAAAAATCGTATGGGATTGGTGAAAAGCAGCCTATTTGGCACTCCCGTAAGGGCTCGTCGATAGGTAGTATAGCACTAATCAAATATACCATTCAAATCAGAAAAAATTCTCGACAAGCTAGGCTATTCAAAATAATTCAGCATATGAAAACAAAAATGTTGGGAATCGAGGGAGAGAGTTCCTGCACAAAGACTTTCCAAAATTTCCCCTTTCGCGTCGATATTTGGCGATAAATAATGTAATGTATGGAAAATTTATTCTGTCAATTATTATACAGAAAAAATGATGGCAAAAGAGAAACTAAGCCTGAAAGGATCGAATAAAATAAAACGTCACCTTCCGGTCCGCCGGCACCCCGACCAGATCCTTGACCTGTCGATTACACCCAAAATTGACGGCTTTCCCGCCAAGCGAGCGCTTCCTTCTGCCGACCGGTTGCTGCTGGACGTTGCAGGCCCCACCGGCTAGAAATATCATTCAATGGGGGTAGTGTCGGACAGCACCCCAAGAAACGCACCCCGGGTGCCTTTGAAACGCACCCCAGGGGGTCTTTGAAACGCACCCGGGGTGCCTTTCAAACGCACCCCGGGGTCTGTTTGAAACTCACCCCGGGGTGCGTTTGAAAGACACCCCTCTCCGTCGGGGGTGCATTAATAGTGTCCCCGGGTGCCTTTGAACGCACCCCGGGGTGCGTTTCGGGGTGCGTTTGGGGGTGTGTTTTGGGGTGCTTTCGCCCCACAGGTTGCAAAGAATAGCAAGGAAAGCTGATAAATAAAAGTATATTTGGCATAGGAATATTACAGAAACCTTTATAAAACCTTATAAACCCTCCAAAATGCCATTCCTGCCGTATTTCATACTATAGCTGCTTCCTATTAATTTTTATCTCTTCCATTTTGGCAATCTCATAAATAATTTCCATACTTTTTCCAAAAGTATGAGCAAAAACATTGTAAGCCCAATAAAAAATGAAAATCGTATCAGAATTCTTTTAAAACTCCAACACAGGCCATCAAATATATCTTACTGAAAGCCAGATGGCATCAGTTGTGTATAGAAAGCATCGTAAAACACAGCTGTAATATTCTTATGCCAAATATACTTTTATTTATCGGCTTTCCCTGCTATTCTTTGCAACCTGTGGGGCGAAACGCACCCCAAAACACACCCCCAAACGCACCCCGAAACGCACCCCGGGGTGCGTTCAAAGGCACCCGGGGACACTATTAATGCACCCCCGAGGGAGTGGGGTGCCTTTGAAACGCACCCCGGGGTGCGTTTCAAACAGACCCCGGGGTGCGTTTGAAAGGCACCCCGGGTGCGTTTCAAAGACCCCCTGGGGTGCGTTTCAAAGGCACCCGGGGTGCGTTTCTCGGGGTGCTGTCCGACACTAAATGGGGGCTAAAGGGGTGACGGCCAGTTTGCCTAAACGCACTTCTCCTAAACCCATTTCACTGAAAGCCTGTTTCGCCCAAGTCCCGTTTCGCCTAAATTCCATTTCACCTAAATTCCATTTCACTGAAAGCCCATATTGCCTAAATTATTGACCGTTTTCAAAGATGCATTTTTGACCAAAAAAAGTCCACTATTTTTCGAAATACGTATTGTTCCTTTATTCTTTAAACATAATTCTATAAATTCCTTGTGAAAATCACTTTTTGAAGTTTTATTGAACAATTTCAAGAGCTATCTTTAAAAATGTACGAAGCAATTAAATGACCGACTTTTTGGTCAAAGCTTCAGATATGAAAATGGCCGAACATTGAGGCTAGGCGCTTTAGGCGAAACGGGTTTGGGCGAACGCATGAAGGCGAAGTGGCCGGAAATCGAATTTGAATTGAGTTTTCTAGGGACACCTTTAAGCTGGCAATGTAGTTTACCCGGTGGTGGTGTTGGCGGCCCGTTGTAACCCATTTTCGGCTGCTTTGCCGGTGGACTAGGCGGCCTATTCACTAAGCAAACGTTTTGCCTGTTAGCCCCGTGAAAACGAACCTTTTCTCGAGTAGCCAACCGCTTGCCTAAAGTGAAAGTTTTGTTGGGTTCCAAGAAAGGTTAAACCTCCTTCTATGTGCGTCCGCTACGTGAAGACGTTTATAGGACTCAATCTGCAATTATTCATACATTGGAGCTTTGTTATCATAATGTCAAAATTCCTACTAAAGAAATTTCATTCCGTTGAAATTTCCTCATGTCGTAAATTCAGAATTCAACCCACTTCATCCGGCGTCATTTTAATGCTGAACGCCGAATAATCTAGCGGGATGCCCAGCCTGTCAGAAATCATCCGCTCCTGTAGCATCTCAAACTGCAGTTCCACAGGCAGTTTATTGACAGCGTCGACTGCAAAGGAGCGGTCGTGAAATACAATACAGGGATTATTTAGTGGATAGTTTAGGGCAACCTTACCATTCAGGGCGTACTATTAAAAATGAGCCCCTTTTAACTAGGCGCAGAAGGATTTTCGCGCTTCCATCGTTAGAAGGTTGGTACTGAGTCCGGGTAAAAGCACAGACTGTCTACAGGCAACGAACCGTCACCACGGTACCGCTCCGGAAAATAGGGACCGAAAACATGTGACGGCATTCGTCCAGTCGAAAGGAGGTTACCTAAAAGAGGGTTGTCGAAATTCAGAATATCGGAAATTTACGGGGCTTTCGAATTATTCTTAGATCGGAGAGACGAACAACTTTCTTCTAATCAAAAAAACAACTGTTTTTACTCCCAAGCGCCGAAATTTCACGAGTTCTGGCTGAAGATACAACAACCCAGTTCAACCAAGAACTATCGATTCGAAGGCCGGCTGTCGTCTGGCATTGCAATCAAAAAAAAATTATATGGTTTTTTAAGTCTTTTAGTCTAGTGAAAAATTTGGTGAAATCAATCACGACATTTCGGGTATTAAACGAAACATTCGGGCAGGAAAACCCCTAGATACTAAGCAGCAGCTTTCTATATTCTGAAATTTCAACATTATGGATACCGGTCGGGAATTCTCGGACCCCTGGGACAATTTTCGTCGTTTCGGAATTGATAATCCAGAATGCAAAACGATAATGAGCGCCTTACCTCGCCGCAGATTCTCGCGTAGTATCTTGTCATTCTTTTCGGGATCCGTCCCGACTAAATTTGCATTTGACAGGTGGCGTTTTGTGAGATGAATCAGCTTATCGTGTTCGAAAAACTTTGCTGATTCCGAATACGCTTTGAATTTTTGCCAATAGCCCGATTAAAGAAGTTAGTGTGCAAAATACGCTGTTTTTCACCATTTCCCATACATGAATCGGAGCTCTGCAACCGGCGCATTTTTTTTCAATTTAAAGACTCTCAAGAATTTTCGAGTCCATAGTTCCACCGATCCCGAAAATTTCCTGACGACGAAGGCGAGGTTATTTTTGGCAAAACCTGCCTAAAAAAGCAAAATAATCGGCCTTGAGATTCGGAAATTTTGAGGAAAAAGGAACTTTACAACGTTATTACCCTAGATTGGGTTGTTTGGCAAAAATGGAAAGCTATTTCGGAAACAGCGTGAAATTCTGCACAATGTAGGCACGGCCCCAAAACCCTCAACGTCGCCTTTGACCTTACAAGGTAAAGGCACCTTGTCCGGGGAATTGCAGGGTAGAACCTACAGGGCTCCAGATACTGCGGCCTGAAGGGTGGACCATCTTGGCGTGGTGCTAAATTGTATGTGTAAAACCCCCTGCAACCGATGGAGATTCATCGTCGAACTCTATTTCATGAAAACACCAACGTTTTGGCTGCCGAGGCCGAGGCGACTGCGGGTGAATACCTAAGAAGTTTGGCAGATTGTGAATTTCCTGCTGATTGTGAAAAAGCGCTGATTCAACCACTACGAAATTTTCAAAATCCGAGCTTTTGAAAACTTGCGATTCTGAAGATTCAAGCTTTTAAAAATTCGGGATCCTGAAGATTTGTGAATCTCAAAATTCCACACTCAACATTCGAATAGAATTGAAAATTCGAAAGTCTAATATTTTTAAACAAATCTTAAAATGTTTAATCTTAAAAGACGTAATCTGAGGTTCTGTTGAGATTTTTTTGAGATTCGATTTGCGACACGGATTCCATGCCATTCTCCAGCTTCCGCTCTCCCTCTCCCTCTCGCTATCTCTCACTCTTTCTCTCTGACCCTTTTTCTCTCTCTCTCTCTCTCTCTCTCTCTCTCTCTCTCGCTTTCCTCTCTCTTCTTGTTGGTATTTTGGTTCTTACCCCCCGCTGGTCCCGCAGGCCGAGGTGGCTGAGTGGCATACTGATATGGTGGAGGGTAAAAGATTTGCGGCTGTGGATATCCCTGAACTTTTTGTGAGAAATTGGAAAGGCGGTTCGGCCAAGCAAAACCAGCAGTGTCTCGACCAGAAAATTTGATTCTCGGCTGTCATTCCACTCGGAATGTAATGCGCATACGTTGGCTTTGGGAATCTGGGGTCAGCTACGGTACCTGTGGCACTCCCGGATAGACCGGGTAGTTGGGGTAGTGCTGTGGGGGCGCCGGGTGGTACATGCCAGTATTCGGATCAAAGTGGCCAGGTGGTGGATACAACGGGTACTGCTAAAAAGGTGTTTAATCTTGGGTTACGGTTTTAGCCACAACAGCGTGCCCACGCGGGACCAAGCCTGACTGGCGCGGAATTTTACCCGGATACTGTCTCTGGATTCAGCCTCTATAAAACATAAAATTCACACGAAGCCTTCGGCGGTTTACTCATAAAAATTCGAAAATTATTAATGTTAAAAATAAATATGGTGAGTTGAATATTTTTTCGTAATTTTGAGCACAACGATTTTTAGCGGTTCAAACTGCTCACAATCATTCAGGAAACCAGCACGAAGCTTGGACAGAAGCGTTTTTCGCATTTTTACTTCTTAAGGGCGATTGCGAAAAAATTGTGGGGGGGTATATTGAGGAATACGGTCGCTCCGAGTTTCAGCTCAATATCACATACCGGCTGATTGGCTGCCGGCGCCGGGTAAGGATAAGGCTGGTATACTGGTTGATTGGCCGGCGGGACGTAGTATTGCTAAATTTAATTTTCTACTTGATTTGCAAAGATTGATTGGTTTTTAGGGAATGTTACCAGTCCGGCGAAGCCCGGATCAGGCAGTACGTTTTGAGGGGGTGCTGGATAATGCTGTCCAACATTTGGGTTGATTGGCTGCTAAAATTATGAGGGCAATTTTCTGAAGGAGAGACCAGTTGATTTGGGGCTGGATAGGGAAGATTTGGCGGGTTTTGGAGAGGTGGATTATATGGTGGCTGATATCCTGGCGGCTGCTAAATACTCAGTTGCATGACAAATTTCATAGGATCCGGAGGACCTGTTGGATGCCGGAAGGGCCCGGGCGAGCAGCTGGGTTCAAAGGCTGGAGCTGGATGTTCGCCAGATCATCTGGCAGTTCTGGGTTTCGAGCCGGACGTCCACCTATAACTCAACGTCTGCATACGGCTACATTGCGTGCACAACTTTGGTAAAGGTTGCTTAACGGGGCGGGAAATAACGGGGGGGGTGGAAACAACATCTGTATTTCTAACAGCGATTCTGCTATTTGGCGATTCTCATCGTCGAGAGCGTTCAAAATTATACTAATCGCTTTAATTTCAGCCCGAAAAACCTTATTTACAACTGTTTTTAATTAAACTTTTTTAGCTTAATAAAGCAATATTTGTAGATAATGGCCATTCGGACCGAAATTAAATAGCTTAGCATAATTTTCGGCGCTTTGTCCGATGGAATTCATGAAGATCCCGAGAAAAAGGCAAAAATGTCAGAAACGATCGCGTCACCTCATGCGTATACTTCATTGCCAGCTCATATTTTATAATAAAAGAATAATTAGTTTATATGAAGTTATTCCTGGTTGAAATTAAGTTTTTTCGTATATTCTTTGATGCTCTATCGAATGACATGCACAAAACCTCAAAAAAATACCGAAATTCGGTGCTCTCTCCCCCGCAGGTTATCCCGCCTGCACGTTCAAAATCCGTCAATCTGGTTAATTAAAGGGTCCGTGCTAATTAAGGTTTTTCGAGCTGAAACTGCTGAAAAAGTGGTATTTCGCGAGCACCTCTACATTCCTTGGATGCGCAGTAAACCAGTCGGCTGCATGGAGTCTGGTAAAGGTCAGAGTAGCGTCTGGCAAGCACCACCTGGGACCAACCAAAAACTTACCAATGTTCTGTACGGTACTGTCGTCGTCACTCCCATCAGGAGAGTGGTCATAGGGATCTATGAAACGGAAAATCTGCCCCTTCGCTGCCACTTACTTGGAACTTGCCCATAGGGTCGCTTCCGATCGTTCTGTTGCAAGGCCTTTAGTAGCCCGGCACAAGATAGTAGCACCAACCATACCAAGGAGGTATATAGCCGCATGGTTGGGCAAAATGGGAAAGTTCGGTCAAGCGGGATTGTTGAGAACCGCCGTCGCGGGTGGAATTAATATATTACAGAGCGTGGAATATCCCGATTCGATTACTATGACGAATTTCTGGGCGAGCCGGACTATATTCGGCCGATCTATACCGGATTAGCTCGCCAAAAATATATCTTGTATTGGTAATTATAGCTTGTGTTTGAGCTTCTGTTTTTACTATTATATTTTTTGCAGAACTTTTCTACTTTTTTCACGAGTTTCCCTAGGTTTTTTCGCCCAACATTAAGGTCCAGCTGCTTTAGACATCAATCGATCAGTCAGTCAATCAGTCAGTCAGTCAATCAGTACAATAGATGTGAAAATTGTTGTAAAGCTGCGATTTCGAAATTTTGTTCTAATGGGGTAACTACCATCCCGATCAGATCCTTTTGCGTCGGGTTAGAGTGGTTTTTTTTGGGCCTTTTATTGGCATTCCTGTAGCATTTCTAAAATTTTCTCGATTTTGCTTTTGATAAAAAGCATCAACCATATTTTCTTTATCAAATTACTTGCCCTATAACCATCTGTCCCAACTATCACCTGTCCTAAAGGTCACCTGCCCCAAAATCACCTGTCCTAAAGTCTGTCGAAAATCGATAGCGATAGCCAAAATGCCCCTTCCACCTATTTAGCATTAACGAACCGGGTCTGGTAGCAGCACCACATTATCCGATTTCTACGTCATTTACTACGTTTCTACGTTTCTACGCTATGGACGAGGCCACCGACATCAAAGTGGAATTTATTCCAAGCGGTCGAAAAGGATTCGGGGTAATTTCGATTTATTGATATCTCTATAGCTTTAGAAAACGATGGTATTGAAGCAATATCAATATCAGCATCAACGCCGCTATCTCCCAGCCGGAGAAACCGAGTACAAGTTCTATTGGCGCTGCTGCAACCGCGATTGTCCGGTACGAGTGGCTACCCGTGAGGACGGGACGCTACTGAGCGCAGTTGCTGATCATGCGCATGAACCGCCGCTTCGCAGGGTAAGTCCTAAAATACCGTATTTGCTCTAATATGACCCGGGGTTCTATTTTTCAATCATTAGGGTAGTGGGTCGTATTAGAGGGAAGGATATAATTTTCGTGATTTTGACTGATTCGTGATTCGTGAATCACAACGATTTTTGGCAGTTAAAACTGCTCGCGACCACCCCAGAATACAGTGCGGAGCTTAACCGAAAATGTTTCGGGCATTTCTTAACGCTTCAGAGTGACTTCGAAAAAAATTTGTTAGGAGGCGGGGTTATATTAGCGGAAATACGGTATAGGCTGACCCCTTTAGGTGGCGAGTGAGCGTCTCAAAGACACAATCCGAGAAGTGATCGCGGTGCTGCCCGGGATGTCGGCCACAAGTATCGTTTCGGCGTCACTCCTCGGCTTCCAAGATGGTGTTCCCCAACCTAGTGTCGTTGGACTCGAACAATTTGCGAGACGCGAAAAGCGGAAATTACGAAGAAATGGAGAAAACGAACATCGCGCTCCACCAGCCAAATCTCTGGAAATTTCTCGATCATCTGATGAAGTTCACGACCAAGCAGGAGTGGATCCTGGAGCTGGCTGCGCACGGGGGACCGCCGAGGAAACAGAAAAAAGAGAAATCACTGAAGTTTTGTTTGACCTATGATAAAAATTTTTTTCCTGAATATATTGATGCCATTGCGACGACTCCGGGAGCCTATGCAAATTCCACCAACAATAAGCTTTCTATCGCTTTACTGGGCTCTTGGTGAATAGAAATGCTAAGAAGCTGCCAGCCTATGACATTTATTCTTTTGCAACGTAAGGGTCAGCAGGTGCGTTGCGTACCGAGGTATCAGGAGCACAATTTTTGTATGTGTGAATTGTTAATATCTTTAAATGCGCACGTTCACGCACCTAATTACGCCGATCGCGCACTTTAAAAAGAGAGACGCTGATGTAAATCAACATTATACAGAATATATTATCCGCATGAACTTTAGTTTTAATAATGAAAATCCGATCAGCCAAGAAAGCTTGCGGCATCAGCATTCCGTTGTCTTTGAACTTTTTATCAGCGACCTGCTGACCGTGTCTAATTAATTTATCCCCCACCCCCTTTTGCACCCTACCAGGCGCCACAACGGATTTCTCTGGACCCTCTGCCCCTTTTTCTCCCTAACCCGCCTCCCCCATCTCTGCTCTATGTTTTTTCTGCGGCCGGCGTCATTATTGACCTGCAAAACCCCACACAACCCCGACCACATCACCCCAGGATATTTGTTGCGGTTTTGGAGCTTCGATTCTATGTGAAATCTACCTGAATCGATAATTGGAAAGCATTTTTGAAACTTGATTTTTATTACGGGAGGGAGGAAAGCGACCCATGCAATATGCCGCATCGAAAAATGTGAGTTTTCAACTTGTTGGGGTTGCTAATTTCATGGCGTAATCATTTGCATTTTCGTTTTTTAGCTTCCGAAAACAAAAATCGTCAAAAAATGTATTTGGTGACTGGTTTTATGGCGTAATCGTTTTGTTTTTCATCCCAATGCATAAATTTTATTTTTCTAACCTTCGCAAACTTCAACATGCTAATACTATAAAATCAGACTGGCTTTTTACCATTGAAATAGCATTATCTTTGACGACATTATGATATTTTGTTAGAATTTTTATTGTTATTAAAATCGTTGCTTTTGCTTTTGGGTTAAAATTGAGGTGAAAAACCGATTAAAACCCGCAATTACACGCTTTTTTAGCAAAAGAAGACGATCTCTGCCCTAGTGGCCGGCGCCATAGCCGGAGCAACAGCAAAAACCCTGGTTGCACCGCTGGAACGGTCTAAGATCTATTTTCAAGGTATCCACCTATTCATGGTTTGAAATTAACGCTTCTGCTGTAGTTTCCACCCACGAAAAATACTCACTACGTGCTGTGCTTCAATATATCGGGACCACTTACCAGGATCATGGATTCAGGACGCTTTTTAAGTAAGGAAATTTTAGTTCAACATATGATATTTGATTCAGGGGTACAATTCGGATAAGCGGGGGGAAAATTTTAGGCGCGGGGGGGGGGGGGAACCGAACTCTTTTCCGCCCAAGCCTCTATTTTTTATATAAATAGTGGAAATGTTTCTAAATTGTTTATCGCTATTCCTAAACATAAAAACTTTACAAAACTTAATTAAAAAAAATTTACATTGAGGCCGAAAAATCAATTTTTCGGCTCAAAAATGACCAAATGTTCGACTTTTCAAGCGTTTTTCTAGCTTTTTAAAAAGTTTTTCCGATTCAAATAGGCTGAAATTTTGCTAAAAACAATGTGAAAACACTTTATATTTGATTACTATCCCCACCAGGGCCGACAAAAAAAAAGTTGGTCCCCCCCCCCCCTTATCCGAATTGTACCGATTCAGGGGTCATTCTGCTCAACTGCTACGTGTCATCCCATTTTCTGCCATACAATTCGCGTCGCATGAGAAGTATTCCCAATGGTTAAAGGTCGACGTGGAGGAGTAAGGTTTTCACATTTTCTAGTCAAGATTTTATCATTA